AAGGTATCCCACCATAGGGAATGGGCTCCAAAAAGCCAGTTCATCCACCTGGGATAAATCCTGGTGCAACTGCCATGCTTTCTCCAACAAATGAAGCCGCATAACTGTCACCCATACTCAGAGGGTCTATTTCGGTCTCATACAGGTTCCCCAGCTGTCAGTCCATAGTCCATGAGCTCCCCTAGCTCAGGTCAGCTGTCTCTGGTTTTCCCCATCATGCTCTTGATGCCCCTTGGTCATATGATCCATCCTCCCTCTCTTCAACTGAACTCCAGGAGCTCAGCCCAGTGCTTGGCTGTGGGTCACTGCATCTGCTTCCATCAGTTCCTGGATGTAGGTTCTATGGTGACAGTTAGGATAGTCACTAATCTGATTACAGGGGAAGGCCCTTTCAGACCCCCTCTCCACTGTTTCTAGGAGTCTTAGCTGGGGTCATCCTTGTGCATTCCTGAGAATTTCTCTAACACCAGGCTTCTCCCTAACCCCATAATGGCTCCCTCTATCAAGATATCTTGAAAGATATCTCTTTCATTTCAGCTTGGTTGGGTCTGGGACCCAACCCACAGGATAGTTCTGCTCACATTCAGTATGGGTCTGCCCTTAGTTAAATCATTATGGAAATACCCACAATGGCTAACTCAGAAGTGTATTTCCACACTGATTGTAAATCCAACAAAGTTGTCAGTGAAGATTAGCCATTACTAATGTGCTTATAATTTAAGCAGAATAGAATCAGTTCAGAAGTTGTCTCCCAGTAGGTTAATATGTGATGTGTTTTTTCTATTCCTCCATATTATTACTATTCATAATTGTAGTGGCATTTCATTTGTATTTTAATAAATAAAGCTTGCCTGAAGATCAGAGAATAAAACAGCCCCACTGGTCAGCCTTACAGACCAGACAGTGGTGACACACACCTTTAATCCCAGTAGCCACACTAGTTGCCATACAAACTAGGCGGTGCACGCCTTTAATCCCAGCACTAGAGAGGAACATAAAATGGGAGGAGACAGCTCTCAGTCACAGCCTCATTCTGAGATTCCTGGAGGCAGGATCGCCGTTTCTGACTGAGGTAGAGGTTAGGGCCAGTGGCTGGCTGTTTTGCTTTTCTGACCTTTAGATTGAACCCCAATTTCTCTAATCACGTTTCACATAATCATTTTTACCACTGAATAAACTGGGTTTATATCATCTTGTAACTGTCAGATCACACTGTCACCAAGTGAGCAGGACAAGAAGTCAGGCAGGAACTGAAGCAGAGGCCATGAGGAGCACTGGTTACTCCTCATTGCTTACTCGCACTGTGTACCACCCAGGACCGCTTGCCCAGAGGTGGCACTGCCTCCCATGGGATGGACCCCCCACATCAGTCATTCATCAAGACCAGTACCCCACTTGTCTATGGGCTAGTCTTATGGAAGAATTTTCTCAGTTAAGATTCATTCTTCTTAAATGACTCCAGTTTGTATCACATTGAAAAACGTAGCTAGGGCAGTCACTTGTGTAGCTGGAGAAAACTATGAGAAATTGGTGCGGGAGAATTATCTGTATTCTGTCAATCATATTTTAATAAAATGCTGATTGGCCAGGCAGGCAGTATAGGCGGGAAAGCCAGACAGGAAGTAGGGGTGGAGCAAAGAGACTGGGAGTTTTCTGGGACACAGGAAGCTCTCTCGCCACTCCTGCGCCAGACAGGAAGTAGGGGTGGAGCAAAGAGACTGGGAGTATTCTGGAAGCAGAAGCTCTCTCAGCGCTCCTGTACAGACCACCGAAGAGGCAGCATGTAACTTGCCCAGCTGAGAAAGGTACGGAGCCATTATGGCTAACATAGATGAGAATAATGGGTTAATATAAGTTATAAGAGTTAACAAGAAGCCTGACCTAATGGGCCAATCAGTTTATAACCTTATAGAGTCCTGTGTGTAATTTCTCTTTGGGATTTGCCGGCTGTTGGAGTACCGGGCGGGACGGAAACCCCAACAAGCCGGCCCTCATGTTACAAGAAATGTGTACGGCATGTGTGCTTTCAGTATTTCATTTTACAACAGCCAACCCCTCTGTTCTGCTGCCTTGTGGCTCTGTCTATTTATTCACCTTTTTATGTGGAAGTTGGAAAAGAATAAGGGCAAGGAAGGTAAATTCAAAAAAAGTTTCATTTTGTCAGTACCCGATACTTAAGTCAGTCCTTTGTGTTTTTAAAGTCACTTAAAAGTAATTGCTATATATTTTTTTAAATCATTACCTTATACCTTTTTATTCTAATTTTTTTAAGGGGAAAAAAACTTAAGTCAGAAAATGCTCTGAAGTTCCTTGTTTTTTCTTTGACTTAATATGCATCTTTACACATAGAAAAAAAGAAGAGTAGGGTTTTTGTTTTTTCCTTTAAAAAGTCTTAATCTGGGATATACTCATGCACATGTGAATGTAGAGGCCAGATGCCGATTCAGGGTCTTTTGGTTGCTTTCAACCACCACCTCCCTACTTCCCCTGTCTCCTTCCCTCCCTCCCTCCCTTTCTTTCTCTCTCCTTCTTCCTCTCTCTCTCTCTCTCTCTCTCTCCCCCCCCCGTGTGTGTGCATGTGCATGTGTGTGTTATATACATGTGAGTGTACAGATATGCAAACAGTCACGTGTCGTCTTCTCTTGCTCTGAATCTTGGTATCTGACTACAGGATCTGCCGCTGTACTGGGAACTCACCATTCTGGCTAGCTGGCTGGCCAGTGAGTTCTTGGCATCTTCCTGTTTCTGACCCCCAGTGCTGGGGTTATAGGCATGTGCAGCAATGCCTCACTGTATTCATGGGAACTGGGAATTTGAACTCGGGTCCTCATGTTGGTGGAACCAATGCTTTTTTGCCATGGAGACATGGACCCAGCCACCTCCTTTTTGAGATAGTCTCTCACTGGACCTGGAGCTTACTGAAGTGGCTAGACTAACCAACAAACAAACCTCAGAGATCCTCCAGTTTCTGTCTCCCTAACACAGGGATTGCCAATGTGTGCCCCGTGCCTAGCTTTTTCTGTGGGTGCTAGGGATCTGAACTCAAGCCCTCACACTTGTGTGTCAAGCACTTCACTCATGGAGCCATCTCCCCAGCCCCTTTAAGATGGTTTTAAAATAATTAAAGTGGTTTTTAATTGGAAAAATTTTCATTTATGTATTTCTTTTGTCTCAACGTTAAATAACAAGCTTTTTTAAAATTGAGAAATATCTAGTCAGAGTAACATGGTTTTCCATGTTGCTATATTCATTCAGTTTAGGTAGTTGTGGTATTTTCAGTCCATATTGAGAAGCCAGACCAGCTTCTATAGATGACTCACACTGTCCTACAGACACTGGACCAGTTCATAATAATAATAATAATAACCTTTAAATGATATTATTCAGATACAGGCTCAAGTAGAAATGACTCTGGTTTTGTTCACTCTGAAACCAAATGTTTTTCTTGCAGACTTGCAAGCTATAGCTTTGTAAATAAATGAAGTGGCAATGATTGAACCCATTAGAAGTTAAGGATCCAGCCCCCAGAGGCTGATGCAGAAGGATCATGAATTCTAGGCAAGCCTGAACTACATCACCAGACCCTGTCTCAACAAAAGCTAAACAAAATTTAAAAAAGAAAAAGAATTTAAAGGAGACATGACAAACTTTAAAACAGTAGACTTTGCCCATCTAGACTGGGAATCCTAGTCCTTGATGCTTGCCACTGCCTTCATCCGTTCGTGAAGCATTTGCACATCTGCTCTGTTGCTAGTGAGCAGAAGAGAAGGGAAACATCAAGTCTGTATCCTGTGCAAATTTATTGTTATATTAAAAATCAAATATCCTTACAATTTAATGATAGTGAAAACACATGCAACAGTTCTTTCTGTGAAAATGTGCATGGATTGTGAGGCTTCTGAAAGGAAAGGTTTCTTCTGAAAAAGCAAAGGTATGTGAGATGCAGGGAGAGGATCTCGGTACAGGAAAAGCATTTGCTGGAAACTTTAAAGCAGGTAGAGGTCATCTGGTGCCCAGTCTCATATACGTAGTCATGCACACTGTCTTTGTTGTTCTCTGCTCACAAGTGCATGGTATTTTCCTTGGCTTGTCCGAAAACCGTCTATAGAAGCCAGGGATGGTGACTCTTCACCTGTCACCCTACCACTTAGGAAGCTGAGCAGAAGGATCCCTGCTAGTCTGGGGCCAGTCTGGGCTGTATAGCGACTTCCACGAAGTCCAAGTTACAGAGTGAGACCCTGTCTCAAAACAAAACAAAACCCCAACAACTCCCCCGATGGAACATGTCAGGTTGTGATGACGTGTTTCATTGATAGCCACCTGTCCAAACCAGTGCCAAACAATACTGCTTCACAAATCAACTTTTAGCATTCCTTTTGAAATTCATTAGTTTGTAGTATAATATTTTAAGTACTTTAGAACCTAATTATATCTCATCCACTCAGTACTATCAGTTTGAGGCAAAGGGTGACAATTAAGGCCCTTGGGAAATTCTAGTTTTTGTACATCATAGTTTGTGCTTAGCCCTTAGAATTCAGAAGTGGGAGCAAACAGACACAGTCTGTGCGTTTATGTCATTTCCTGTGGAAAGCATTTGAAATCCCTTACTGAAAGTATAGTGCATATTCGTACGAGGAGGATGAAAGTTTTAAATGTAATAAGAATCAAAACCACCTCTTAATTGATGTTGTATATTCCCCTTCCCCAATAGTATTACTTATAAATAACTACCCAGAAATTCATTAATTTTGAATTTGGTTTTCTTTGTTGGCCATTCACAGTGTGATAAGGTGAAATGAAAGAATGTAAGTCCTTAAACTCTGTTCTCAAAAAAAAATTTCTTACTTTATAAGGGACAAGGGAAGCTCATCTTCCAAGGGGACAGCATGTGGGATTTTGTATACAGAGATTGGTGACAGTGAATCAGCAAGAGCACAGGTGGTGATGCGGAAAGAACGCCTTTGTAAACGCTCTTCTCACTTCCCCCTTCTTCCTTCAAGATCCTTCTTGATGAGCTATCTTCTACTAAACACTGGGCGTCCATGCACGTTTCAGACCACAGTGGATTTCACTATCGCCAGTTTTTGTTAAAATCTTTGATTAGCCAGACTGCAATGGACACTTCTGCACTGCAGCAAAACTCTTTGAAAGATGAGCCAAAAGGTGAAGAAGCAACAGCTTCAACAGAGGAACCAAGGATAGATCTTACCCAGCTCCTAGAAGAAGAAGTGGAATTCTGCACAGATCTTATTGATTCCTATCCAGGACATGAAACCCTTTGGTGTCATAGGTAAGAGGAGAGAAAAATCCACGTCCTGTGATTAACTGGTTGCAGAACCTGTTATATCTGACTTCTGTCTGTGAATGTGAATATGACTCCCTGGTTTCCTGACTGAGGAGGGCTTTTGTTCAGCATCTCATTACCATTATGAATATGAGGTTTCTCACACACAGCTTTGACTCTGGTTTAGATTCACACTTAAGTACACAATTGAATGACTTGTGTTACTTCCAAAATAGTATAGAAGCAAAAGGAAACAAAACATAAAAATGTTTCATGACTCTTTGGAGATCCTGGCAATTAACGTATCAGGAATGGAATGCTGCCGTGTGTTTGTAAGAAAAGTAAAACCTAGATCATTTAGGTTAGGATTGCAGTTAGGATTGAGACTAATGATCAGGTAAGCTTTATCTTTTTCCCTACTCTCACGATCTGCACATTAATTATCTTAAGTATAATAATAATCAGAAAGGCCAACAATTTTTTTGACCTGGGTTTTGAGAACATTTGATACTATAAACTTCATGCTGAAATGAAGTCCAGGCGAGTTAACACTTTGTTTCATTTATTTTGGATCTTTATCTGTTTGGAAGCATCTAGCTTTGTAAATCTGAATTCTACTTCAGGCCACAGGATTCAGTCTATAAACAAAAGACTTGTCTGTGCTTGGTAAGGATAAGGATTGTAAAATCTATTTCCTGAGTTACTGAGACCCCTTTCTCCAGTCTAATCTTTCTCGTGGACTGCTTAGCTGATCTGTTAGCTGTGGTCCACACTGAGGACACTCAGAAGGCAGACATTAGCTTTCTTTTTCTTGAACCTTCATGAGTAGACAATGGTCTTTTCACATAAAGTCTTAAGAAAGACAGGCTGTACGACTGTTGTGTTAGTGACTTTGTTGCTCGCCGTAGCGAGGCACAGAGACTTAAAACATTGATAGTAAGACATATTGAGACCTTAACCCTTGAATGAATGATGAGATGTAACAACTTAGAACCTCATATGTCATGTTATAGTTTGTGTAGCAGATGTGTGTACCATGAAGACCGTTTGGAGATGATGCAGAGCAGTTTTTGTTTTAATAAGCAATTCCAGGTTTATTAAGAGATTCCAAACAGGAGTGTCATCTTTTATGTGCTTTGCTCAGAGCCTAGCATAGCTCTGCCGAATACTGATATGGAAGACTAAAGCGGAGGTTTAAGAGAAAGCTTAATTAAATAAGACCAACTGCCACAGGTGTGTTCTTCGAGCTTTAAAAAAGACCAGGGACTGGTGGGATGGCTCAGTGAGTAAAGGCGCTTGCCAACTAGCCTGTTGGCATGAGTTCCATCCCTACAACTTGGAGCATAGAGCTTGGTGGAAAGAGAGAACTGACTTCTGTATCCATACATCACACACACACACACACACACGCACACGCACACACTCACGCACGCATAAATAAATGCAATAAAAATGTCTTCAGAAAAAACTAGATAGAGGCTATGAACTATGCCTCTTGTATGGAGGAATTGTTTAATGTACCTTGTTTCTGATTACTTCAAAAATTCTAAATGAAGCTGGCATTTTGTTTTATATGATTATTTATGGAGATATTGAGCTTTTATTGTTTCTAATTCATGTTAGAATTAGAACTGAAAACTCACTCAGAGTTGAGTAAATGTTTATTGGGAAGTCTTCACAGCAGTACTATTTTCTCACAAACCAGTAGCAAGGATCTTTCAAAAGTCCTGATCTTTCAAGTCATTTTTCTCTTCCCCAGACAGCTCTGGATTATGAACTGGGTGTTAGCTAATACTTGGTACTTTTAAATTATTGACTTCTTTTGCCTGGAAATCTTGATTTTTGTGATGATGTTCTTTCTTCCACCCCAACCCCCATTACAGGCGGCATATTTTCTACCTTCAACATCACTTAAATGGCAGGTGTCCTCACAACTTGACTCACCTGTCACCTGCAGACTGCTCTGGGGGGACTTTGAATGACTTGCATCTGATTCCAGCAAGCCCTCAACTATCTCAGGCAATGGAAGTGGACGGACTGAATGACTCTAGCAAACAAGGCTATTCCCAGGAAACCAAACGCCTGAAGCGGACCCCAGCTCCAGACTCTCTAGGCCTAGAGATGGAGCACAGGTTTATTGATCAAGTATTATCCACTTGTCGGAATGTAGAGCAAGCCAGGTATGCTAATGCTTACAGGAAATGGCTGGTGACTTTAAGTCAGTGAAAGGTGTGGATTCATCCTAAGAGCTCCCCTTTTAGTGCAATATTGCTTTTCTTCCCCAATGCCATAGCTGCATGGACTGACTAGCTAACTCTGGGTTCTTCATCTATTGCTTAAAGTCTGTAAGAAACGTTTTGTTTTATTTATTTTGCTCAGAGCTGGCATTCCTTGGGTACAAAATAACTGTATAGTTCCTTCTTGCTAAACAGTGAGTCTTAAGTTTTCCTGTTTGATTCCATGCCTTTTATTTTACTATTTGGGCTTTTCATTTGATTCTTGAGATTGGGTCACATACCTTTGCCCACCTCAGTTCAGTTGCTACATAAGCAGTTTCTTTAAAAATTGAAATTTTAAGTTGCAGTTCAGCTTAGGAATATTCATAAATGTGCAAAAGGACTTGCTCTAATTGCAGTTTTGAGAATAAAATGGCTAGATAGATGGATATGTGCAAATGTAAGCCACTTCTTTCTCAAGAATGTTCTCCAGTTACCGACTAAGAGAACCAAAGCCAGGAGTGTTAGGATTTATATAGAAAAAAATGCTTCCAATGTAATCTATTTTTTAAATGATTATTTAAAAGAAACTAAACTAATTTAAGAGTTTATGTAATTGTAGTACTGGAAAATTATTTTTATTACTAGTTTTGATAGATTGTTTTTACCTCATATTTGGTATATGCCAAAACAGTAAGTCAGCCCTTATGAAATAAATTCTTTTTTAAAAAAACCCAGAAATGCCATTTTTAGTTATTACTACTTTTTTCCTTCTAAAATTACTCAAGAAAAGTGGGAAAAAACTACATATAAATGTAGTCCTATAAAGCTTTCTTTATAAAATTTAAGTTTCTAAGACTATACTGGATAAACTGCAGTTTTTGTCAAGTGTCTAGTCGGAGTTTACTGGCAAAATCTAGGAAGGAAGGCTAGTTTTAAGCATTAGTTCAATTTTTACTTTCAAAGTCAAACAAAACACTTTGATACTAAATTCATCAGGGATAAATACCAAAGTCCACATTATAGCTATATCTCAATAACAAGGGCTGTGTTTTTCAGGTTGGTGAAGCGGGGTGGGAATGGGTCAAGTACCATCTCTGTCTCTCTTACTGTATCCACCCCTTCGGATGAGCTGTGATTCCTCTGTGTGCATCCCTTCTCTTGATCTTACCGGTCCATTCCCTGCTTTCCATCACTCACTGGTCCATATTCTTTTCTTGTGTGTGTGTTTTTTTTCAGAGATGCCCACTGAAGCTGTTATCTCTCCTGTGTCAGTGAATTTAATACCTGGCCATAAACACAGGCAGCATGAATAAAAGGTTCCCCTCTCGTATTCCCTCCTTTTAATGGTTGTCTTGGTTAGGGTTTCTATTGCTATGACGAAATACCACAAATAAAAGCAATTTGGAGAGGAAAAGGTTTATTTCGCCTACAAGGTAACAGTTCATCACTGAGAGAATTCAGGGCAATACTCAAGCAGGGCAGGATTCTATAAGTAGGAGCTGATGCAGAGGGCAGAGGCCATGGAGGAGTGCTGCTTACTGACTTACTCTCCATAGCTTGCTCATTTGGCTTTCTTTTAGCACCAGAACAGCCAGCCCATAAAGTGGCACCGCTCACAGTGATCTGGGCCCCCTCTCATCAATCACTAATTAAGAAATTCCCCTATAGGTTTGTTTATGGCCTGATCTTCTGGAGGCATCTTCTCAACTGAGGTTTGCTCTTCTCAGATGACTCTAGCTTGTATCAAATTGATGTAAAACTAAGCCAGCACAGTGGTGGAAGCTGTCTCTTATCCCATATATGTGCAAGATGTAAGCAGTGATTACAGAAATCAGCACCGCCATCATGTTTTGCATGGTCTCCTCCTTCACACTTGGTACTGTGTAGTGTAGGTAGAGGGACAGACGGAAAGGCAAGCTGCTCCTGTCTCACTCTGGTGGGAACTTGCACTAGAGTTAGGCACTCTTTATTAAGATTCTAGGGCATCATGGTCTTATTGGGTGGCAGACTGCTGAGGTGAGTGAGGAGGCACTTAGGATACTAGAAAAAAAAAATTCTACTAGCCCCAGTAGCTAGAGCTTACTTCCCTGGGGCAAAGTTATGTTTACCATTTTATAGTATTTAGATGATAAAAATACTCAGCATTGTTAACATAATTCCACAGCCTTCTATTTACAAAGCATAGTTTGAATCATCAAATACCTCAAGTTCTACATGGATCTCTATAGGAAAACAATTACATGTTGTTTAACTTCCCTGAGATTGAGTAGAAATGATAGCAGTTATTGCTGCCGAACCCCGTCTGTACTCGGTATTGCCTTTCTCGACAGCATCCTTTTTAGTTTCCGAAGTAATAGGGCTTATATTTGATGTTGTTTGTCAGGTCATGAGCATAGGCTATGTTGTATGAACATCTACTAACTTTTTATAGTGTTCCATTCCTTTTTTATATCTTCTACTCAGCTTCTTGGTCATCTTTGGTGTTAGCCGCCTTCTTATGTCTTCTAAGGCTCAGCCCACCCCTTCCTGAAGCTGTGGAGTCCTCTAACATACCCTGGTTTCTTTCTTCTAGTAAAGTAGAAAGTAAGTAGTAAAAATACAGATATCTAAAAGATCCTGTTTATTTGTGGCTTTTGCTACATTTTATCTGAAATTAGCATGTTCAAGAGTTCCTTCACAGGACTTAGGATTTCCCTGTGTTTTCTCTAAGTGTTTGACATTTACCCTCTAGCAAGCTACTGTGTCTTTGACCAAATGAGCTAATGCCATAGAAAGAACCCATATAATTTAGGGCTTGTTTAGTCACATTTTTCTGTACATATGTTGCTGTTAAGAGGAAAAGTTAGTTAATTTAGACTGACACATTGAATCTGCTTTTTACTGGGAAACTAGTAGGCCATTATACCATCCTATGAATCAAGAAAACTACTGACGAGCAAAAGGTAGTAAGAGCTGTGGCTCTGACCACAACCCCACCCTACCTTTCTTAAGTCTGTGTATTTTGGTAATTGTATTTCCAGGTTATATCATATGCCTTGCACATAATAAGGACTTAATAACTATTTATTAAGTTGACTAATTCACTCTTTGAAGAAGGCAAAGATTGATCATAAATGATGGAATAATGATCAGGAAATTAATGAGTTATAAGTTAGTGATGTGGGCTATCTTCGGTAATATTTAAGCAGAGCTCTCACATGTAAAATTAGTGAGATTTAGATTTGCTGTCTTCATTACCTTGTTTAGACTTGTTAACTCTCAGCCGTGAGATGGAGCTCTAGAATTCTCTTAACTGTTTGTCTACCTGAAAAATTCTCAGTGTCAATAAGGTGCACTTGGTAAGAATATTGTTTTCTTTCACTAAATGATGTTGAAGAGCAGATCTTGCATATAGAGCCAGGGGCACATTTGAGCAGATGACGTAATGCTTGGATTTAGAGACTTATTCATCTATATTTGTACGTGAGTCATCCCGATCCCCAACTTGAACTGTGGGCCTTTTAGGTACTCCTGGAACCTGCATGAGCCATTTTTTAAGACTAAGGATTTTATACCCGTTACTATCCCGTATTACTTCTAAAGAAATTCTGGGCCAGACATTTCTAACTCTTGGGGCACAGTCTAACTTAAGCTAAATGCTTCATTAATTTTTTTTCCCTTTGTTTTTGCTGGTGCTGAGAATCAGGCTCACATTTGTTAATCAGTCATAGAGTTAAATGTGTACCGATTATCACCAAAAGCCACTTAGAGTTTCAAATAAGGGCTAAGTAACATACAACGTAGAAGCAAGCTTTTGAGTTTATATGCAGCAGTCTGTAGAAAGCATGTGTGGTCGACATAGTCATTTAGCTAATGTTCAGATTCTCTCAGTTCCTGGTGTGTGTGTGTGTGTGTGTGTGTAGAACTTATTACAAATTGTCCATCTTGCAATTTCTCTTACACAGCACAAGGTGGTGTCTGACATGGGCCAAATGTAACTTAGGCATGGAACCACCACCATACAGGCATCTCAGTTGGCTTCCTAAGTTAGGGGCAATTCAGTTGTAAAATGAATAATCCTTTTTCCCCCCAGAAAGCTTCTTGGGTTTACTGTTATTTTGCTATTAGAAATGTTTTTAAATGCTTGATTCAAAAATTTTTGAATATTGTAAAAACCATATCTTTGTCTTAAATAACACTGCAAGCCCTAGCAATATGTATGCTCCTCCACCCCCAACACACATGGTCTGTAATGAGCTTCTACTTATTAAAGAAGCATGTGGGGGTCCGAGGAAACTTCAGCAAACTCAGTTTCATAGAAAAAGTGAGTAAGAAAAAGCCACCCCAAGAATTCCACATATTGTCACATAGTGTCTTTTTAAAAAATAACTGTATATTATCTTAACTTGAGTGCCTTTCTTACTTCAGTGTGGGTTACAAGGTTATCTTATACTCAACTCTGTGTTTAGCTAGTAAACAGGATAGAAATTTTATCAGACAGCCCATTATGATGCAAGGAGATACTGACTCGAGAAGATAGGATCTTGTGATTTATATTCCATTAATTGGCAATTTTTGAGTTCCCTACCAAGAATACCAAGACTTGGAATTTGTTCTTTCCCTTTGTCAACTAACATTTTGAGTTTTGGAGGCATCATAACTACAGGGCCGCATGCACACAATTAAACCTGCGCATTCTGTGCTTGAAGGGAAGCAGGCCCCAGAGCAGTACACCTCCCAGCAGGTGGTTGTCCCCAGTGACCCTTTGCCTTATTCGGAAGACCCTTCAATAGCACTTGCTAACACCAAAAGAAAAGTGGTAAATAGTAAAATTTAAAATGAAATTTCAAATTTTATGTGTTTGTATGGGGATGGGGAAGGTAGGACCATCATATTTCATGATAGCAAATAATTTTTCTTTACAGTAAAAATTCCAAAGTGCTTTGCAGAGCATTCTTGAATAATATATTATGTTGTGTTCATAACTGATGCAGGAACCAATGTCTCCTGTGTGGATTTAGGGTGTGCAGGGAATTCTCAGGCTCTCAGCTGACTTCTTTACCGTCTCAGGCCATCCCTGTTACTACAGAACCGCCAGAGACTGTTGGCTCACAAGCCCAGGGCAGCTGATTTGATCTGTGCTTTCCAAACAAGAGCATAGCCATAAAGCTGGCCCTGACATTTAGTAGTTGGTTGTTGTTCCTCAGGGTGTAGAAGATTTCATCAATTAGAACAAAATTTTATATTCTGTGGCCAAAAAAAATGCAAAATATGCTAAATACACAGCTAGCTACTGAGTGTTAGTATGCAAAAGCTAATACATGCTGTCTTGCTGTTTGTCCTGTAGTTGTATTGTTAATGTTGCCATAAATGTTGCCCATTAAGAGAATTTCTGTGTTATATTTCCAGTTTAGGGAAGTGGAGAACATTATATTTTGTTTCAGTTGACTTTCTCAGCCTTTAAAAATCATATTGAGGAAAATAATTACTGTTGTTTTGCAAATTGACAGCTGTTTTGCTTCCTAAAACTTCTTTTTCTCTGTGAGTGTGAGATGTAAGATGCAGACATGTTTAGAATATCACATAATGCCTTGCATGTCATGGGAAACTAACACGTCAGACTGATAATACTGGAGAAGGAATATTAGCATCTCTCTCTCTCTCTTAATCATTGTCCACATTCTTAGTTTTGGGTAAAGTATGCTGCATTATGAAGTTTAAATATATAAGGCAAGATTGTATAACATTGCAACCAGAGTTGAGGATCTTTTTAGGTATCTAAGTGTATGTGTGTACACATACACACATCTAAGGAGATCTGGAGCCTAGGTCTACATGATTTTATCCCATTAATTTTTATATTTGCTCAAAATGTTCTTATTTAAGGTAATTTTCCCAATAGACAGCTTGCTCTAGCAAAGTTGGAAAATAAGTGTCCACTTGCCTATCTAAATTTTGTGAAAACTGTTTGATTGGGGGTTTGGTGGTTTATAAGCCATGGTACTCTGCTTTCCTTCCATCTCCTTAAGGAATCAGCCTTCATGCCATCCTAGCAGTCACTCTCCTCAAAGCACTGCTCATGTTTATAAAGTAATGGATAATACAAATGAGGTTTTGGTGGTTTTTTTTTTTTTAATGTGCCACGGGGAACTATACTAACATCAATTCACACAACTCTCCCCTGGAAGCATTCATTCGTTTATTCCCATATTCAATGTCATGTATTTGAAGCAGGCAGCTTTTTGTTGGTTAAAGAAGTGGTACAGATGAGAAGTGCTTAGTCAGCTATTGCTCTACCATCAAACTAAGAGCTCTCACCGGGGGGACGGTTGCCATCTCTTCACGGAAGAATACATTTGTAGAGCCATGTGTTGGACACTGAAAAATGTTATTACATGACATGAATTATTACACTTGTTTGTTTAGGCTGCAGTTAGAAACATAATAAAAATATCGTTTAACAGAACCATGGTATGAAGACAGGAGTTATAAAAAGCTGAAGCAGTACCTTGTTGTGCAAGACACATTTAATAAATGTCTTTAAATATTGGTGGCTGAACTCTTAAAGAGAGCTTATGGCCACCTCCTACAGCCCTGTGTGGATTAGCGTATCCTGCACTTCCCAGCGGAGGCCCTTTATTCCACCCCAGTTCTCAGTTCCTTTCCTGTGTCTTAAACGGGATAATGATAAAATAGGAAGTTGGGCCGGGTGACTTCATATAATTTTCTCAGAATATGTTTGACATGAGGAAGAAATTTTTATCAATGATATTGTAGTTTGAGGACCTATTCTGAGTTGATCTAATGCAAAAGATTTAAAGAGTCTTGAAACAAATACTCCTATCTGAACTGAGAAGTCTGAATGGCTTTGCCTTCAGTGAGCCTGCTGATGCAGGACTGTGTCCCTGCTGAAGTCAGCTCCACTTTTGGTGTATTTTCTTCTAGGACAGTAATAGAGTGTACACTATACTAGATCACAGTACTGTTTCTGAGCCGGAAACAAATAAAAGATGAGGTGTTATAAGTACGCCAAATATTTATATACTATTACAAAAACAAAGAGAAAGACTTTAAAAGTACAGCAATGCCTTTTTTTAAACTTGGGGTTTTGTATGCTAGTTAATTGCATAGTTTAACATTACAGAACTGAGGGATTTCATTGAAGAAAAAGATCTCAGATAGTATATTCTACTGTTAGTTTACATTGCTTGTAGATTTTCCAAAAAGAGCATCCAGTAGACTGCAGTTAACAGTGGACGCACTACTCTGACTCACGGTGCAGCGTCGGGTCCTGGGCATGAAGTATTGGTTAGGCCAGCTGTTTTGGAGACGATGTCTTCACCGGTGGTCCTTCCTGTGCTATCCCAGTCTGCATGGAAGTTCCTTTAGCTCTTATGTATCCACAGTTTTAAAAGAATTAAATCTCTTGTGAATTCTTTACAGTTAAAATGTATACCCTAGAGGGGAATAAGGATAAATTTTATAAAAAGGTATGTGCAAAGTACACTTGTGGTATTTGGGAGTTTAGTATCCCAGACTGATTAAATTATGCTAAATTCTAAAGCTATCACTTGGACTTTTGGCTAAGATTAAATGTAAATTCCAAGAGTAACATAATCATGTATTGCTTAGGACTGTGGTATTCAATGGAAATGTAATGTGAACCAAAACAAAATTATAATTTTCTAGTAGCAATGTTTAAGAAGTGTAATTAACTTTAATAAAAATATATCTTATTTAACTTAATCTATTAAAATACTATTTCAACATATAATCGTTATAACAAAACTAAGGAGCTAGCCGTCTCCTTTCTTCTCTGTATATTAGCCTTCACAGCTCAGTGTGGTCTGCTCACTGCCCTGCACTCTGGCCGTGTGTCGGGTCCTCGGGCTCCACGTGTGGCTTAGGTGCCGCTGCGTCAGCAGCGCAGAGTTCCAGGGCACAGCACACACTCTGTTTAAATCTGGAGGTGACAAGTAGACATGACCTTTCAGTACTTTATGAATTTTTTAGGATATTTAGAAAGATATCTAGTGGAGTTTTCCTTCATCTTAATTTAAATTTGTTCTAGAAATTGGATCAACCTGATCCAGTTTGCCAAGCATTTTTTAAAGAGGCGGAATCCTGTGCCGTGTTGAATACCATAGTCACTATCATGAGTACTGATGGTGCGAGGTCAGTCTTCACTGCAGTCCATCCTGTTTCTTAAAAACAATAGCTTAGGTTGCATGCTTACTGTATATCTGTACCTGTTTGTTTTCTATCATTCTTGTTATAATAATGATGTATATTAACCAGCAGCCCTAGGATTCTAATCTATGCAGCCGTCTTCCAGAACATACTAATGTACTTATTAAATTATGATAAGTGGCAGAGAAATAGGATGAACCATTTCTTTTCCCATTAGATTTGTTCTTTTAACATGGAGCCATGTACCAAACTAGCTGTAAATTACTGTATTTCTGTAGACTGTGGAAATGGTGTTGTCTTTGCTGATGTCTAAGTAAACTTTGCCTCTCCTAAAACAAGTGCCAAGTGTGATTGATCTCTGTGCTCGGTAAACTTGGCAGCGTCCATCTGCCAAGACATCCAGTTGAAATGCTCTGATTGTGTTAGGTGGGTGACGTACGGTCTGAATGAAACCAGGAACTGATTATGTAATATATACAAATAATAGAACATTAAAAAAATTAAACTTAGAGAAATTACATAATTGTCTTTCAAATATATTAACAGTGGCAGATTGACTTAGGAAGTCATTATGAGCATATATATTTTATATCTTTAAATGAAGATATAAGTGAGACATTGCTAGTGTTACACCCTATCTTGTCTCTGTATACTGTAAGTTATAAATTACTTATACTTGATTAAGAAGTCTATAGATGGACCTAGAAAAGTAGCCAGTGAAGTAAATACTATTTGTACTCAGATTTTAAATATTTCAGAAGGGTGTTTTATGTTGAAGGGCATTGTTAACAGCAAAGGTTATGTTAGTAGTGATGTAGTATTAATTATGCATATTTTGTATAGAAAACAGGCTGTGGAGGGTTCTTTGTTTTATTTTTAATGTTTTTAATCATTCCAAAGAGCTATAAACTACTTTAAAATGTTTTTACGGCATGTTCTGACTTTTTGGGACCCTAGTCTATATGGATGCACAGCTCCCTAGACCTGGATGTAGGGCGGAGGGCCTTGGACTTCTCACAGGGCAGGGTTCCCCGCCCTCTCTCAAGCAGGGTGGGTGAGGGAGGAGGGGGTATGGGGGAGTGGGAGGGGATTGGGAGGAGGGAAGGAAGTGTAAATAATTGAATGGAAAAATAAAATAAAATAATTTTTAAAAATGTGGGGTGTTTGTTTTAACTGTTATGATAATGAAACTTATTTTTTGTTTTTGGTTTTTTTGCTTGTTTATTTTTTGAGACAGAGTTTTTCTGTGTACCTCTGGTTGCCCTGGAATCTGCTTTGTAGACTAGGTTGACCTCGAACTCACAGAGATCTTCCTACCTCTGCCTCCCTGAGTGCTAGGATTAAAGGTGTGCACCACCACCACCCAGCTGGAAGGTAACTTCTTAAAGACAGTCTTAACATAGACTAATAGGGAGACTGTATGACTATGACAAAATTAGTATTAGAAAGGTGCTTCTCTGGGAAATCATGTTGCATGTTTCTCCAAGTGCAAGATTAGCACTAGTAACAGGTGTGGCCGGCACACTGGCCAGCTAAGTTAATGTAAGGGGCCTTGGCCACTGGCCTGTACTTAGCAGACGCACCATTTTCCTCGACCTCACAGACACGGCACTGCTATTTTAAAAAGACATAAGTGGCATCACACTTGTCTCCTAGGCACTCATCCCTCAGGCCAGGTGGGGCATCAGCTTTAAGCAACAGTGTTCTTGCTTGAGAGACACCCTATTGCATGTGTTCTGTTTAAGGATAGCAGGAATTGAGAGGCTGCTTGCCCTCTCTTCTACGCTTTAGAAGAAAGCAGTGATCAGCCTGTGTTCTTCAACGGGAAGGTTTCTAAGTAGCTTCTGGGATAGAATCTACGTTTAGTAACAAAACACTCATATTCACAAAAAGCTTACACTGTATGCTTCATATTTCTCTCAGAGTAATTACACATACTGAAAGGTTGACCTCCTGTCTCAAGAGCTAATGGGCTGTCATGTTTTGTTAAGTTACTAGTGATCTCAGTAGACACAACTTGGAAAGGCTATTAGAAGGTCATTACAGAAATGGGGTTGGTAAAGCTTCGATCACCCACTTGTTTTATTCTGTAATTTTACCATCTACTTAGGTCGCTGGCGGGGGGGATAATCTCCAATTCTGTGGACACATCTGATTTGCATCCGTTATTTGATGTAAGTCTTTATCATCGTTATTTGATGTAAGTTATTTGATTCAGTGATGCCATAGGGGAAAGAGTGGAAGCATTCTGTAGAGCTTACTACTAGAGTAGGAAATTATAAAGCCTAGCATCAGCTTGAGGAAATTGCTCTTTTTCTATAAACTTACAAATTAGAATGCATAGTTGGACAGGAAGGGTCTCATAGTTTAACTTTTGGAGTAAACTATAAGCTGTCTATAAAGTAAGATACTCATTTTTTAAACAAATTTAAAAAATTATTTCCAGTCATTACATTACAGAACTAACTTGCTGAACAAGACTAAAAGTATAGTGAGGAAGGGGGGAGTTGTTTTAAGTAGAGTAAGGAGGAAATCCAACTTAAACCAGAACACTAATGGAAAGGGTCTTCAGAGTGGTTTAAAAAAAAGGATTAGGGGAAAAAAAAAAACACTTTCAGAAAGCAACATTGAAATTATCAATGTGCTCAATGAAATTAACAATGTAGAATTATAAAAAAAAAAGTTGAGGACTATAGGTATACATACAAGTAAATGCACACATGTCTGCAGACATGTACATACATGCACACACAGCCATGTGTGCACAGACACGTGTGCACACACATGCACACAGTTCTGTTCATGTAAAACCTTAGAAATGGATGCTGACATTTAAGAAGAGGACAAGGAGAAATGGGTTGGAAAGGTGGCATGATGACAACTCACCGAGCTTGATTCCCAGTGGAGGACAATTACAGCTGCCTAACAGGATCCATGCACTCATGTGCACATAGCCTCCAGCCTTACACACATATATGTAATTAGAAATAGAATTTTAAATTCCTGAAGATAGTAGAAGCCTGACCAAGCCTGGAACAAGATGAGAAACAAGAGAAGTTGCTGGCTGGTTTCCGTGTCCAGCGTGTACAGGGATGATGTCTTCACAGATATACAGATACATAGATGTCTCTTTTCTGATGAAGTAAGAGAACATACTGAAGAAACTAGGCTACCATACTCAAGATTAAACAACATAGAAACTCTTTTTCCAGTGTTTTGCTCTACAGATGCAATACAATACCAGCTCCAATGGATTTTTTTTCCACAGACATTGGCGGGTATATGGAAATATGCAACTACTGTCACTGCATATTTCCTAAGTGATTCTAGATCCTGCCAAATCAACAATCACTATTAACCATTGCTACTCCATTCACCCTTTAAGTTCATACCCAAGCACGTCACTTTTAAGCCATAATCTTCCACCTCTTGTACCATTTTGCAGTGCAAGATGCATTCGGTCCAATTTCAACTATCTGGATGGTCTGTAATAGTTCTGAGCCACAAATCCTAAGGTCGATTCCATCCAGAACTTAAGGCAATCTCTTCACTCATAAACAAGTCACATGCTTCCAATATATCAAGACACTGAAGCTGATTTAGTTATCACAACAGGAAATCTGAGAAGTACAGAAGAGAGTAGAATGAAGTTGCAATGAGGGCATGGGAGCAGTAACGGGAGACATTGTCAAGGGATCTAAATTGTCACTTTGGAAGAATGAGTTGAAGAGAAATGCTGAAGAAAACCCAAACTGGAGTGATAAACTAAATAAAGCCTCAGTGAAAGGCCTCACCAACAGAATGGATCATGTGGGAAAACACAGTGTCTGGGCTGGAAGGCAAAATTAATTGGATTATCAGTAAAAGTCAATGAGAAGTTTAAAATGATGTCTGAAGAGATCATGGGAGAGCTTTGGGATACACCTGGTTTTTTTTTTAACAGAAACATTTAAAAGCAGAAGGATCTGGGAAAATGTATTCCAAGCTTTGACTTCAAATTATCCAGATTCAACCTCAAATAATCCAACCAAGCCAAACATAAAAATTAAAAAAATCCCTTACAGGTATACCCAGATGCTTGGGTTTTAGTTGAATACAGATGTAGTCAAACTGACGATGGCTACAAGTCACAGCATTACACAGCAACTACTTGGCCGTCTTCGTGAGATCAGCTCATCAGAGCCAAAGGCATTGTTGCAGGTTTAAACCGACGTGCAAGACATTTTGGAATCATTACCTTACGAATAAAGCGGCTGTTTCCTGCTGTACGGTTTCTCATAGTAGCTATTCTTCTGTTACAAATTCAGGATTTATCTCCCACAATTCAGTGCTATATGAGCTATGTGTGAAGACACATAGTTAAGAAACCTGCTTCCTGCTACCAGGCATTTTCTCCTCTCTCCTATGTAAACATAGAGATCTGCCTTCCTATAATTATCTTTATTGGCAGGCATTTGGTCAGTGTTTAGGGTCCAGGAAATAAGCATTCCATTTAAGACATCCCCAGATATACAAGGACATAGAATTACTACATGCCCAAAGCTGCTAATTCATAGATGCTCACACCGGACATAAAACTACTAAATGCCCAAAGCCGATAATTTATAGCTGCTCACATAGATAGGAAAATAAGCCCTGGTTTTACCTCACTTATAGATAGAAAAGTGATGACTCAAATTCCTAACTCCTCATCTTACCTTCACCTCAGTTTACTGATCACTTTAGTTCAGGATATTTACTGCTTGTGTCTTACTCTCAGGAAAAAAATAATTAACTATCTACCCACAGCCTGAAGGAAGACAAACTTGCACTAGTGCTGCTGATAGACAACAAGCCCACCCCGTACCTGATCTTAAGCAAAGATGTAAACTTCAGATCCAAAAGACGTTTAGAACTTGCTAACATTTGACAAAACTATTAATGGACCAAGGACCATAAACTTCCCTTGTCTGTTTACATAGGTTGCCTGGTTACTTATAGCTGCAAGGTTTTGTGGGTCATCTCAGCTGAATAAGAACAAAGAGAGTTAACAGAAGCTGGGGCAGAAGTTAGAGCAGAGGTGTCCCAGAAACTAGCAGAGATAGAAAAATGAAGGAGGAGGAGGGAGGAGGAGGAGGAGGAGGAGGGGGGAAGAGGAGGAGGAAGAGGAAGAGAAAGAAGAAGAAGAAGAAGAAGAAGAAGAAGAAGAAGAAGAAGAAGAAGAAGAAGAAGAAGAAGAAGAAGAAGAAGAAGAAGAAGAAAGAATGTAGAAGAAAATTGTAATTAGAGTTGAGACAGAATTAGAGCTAAGAAGTTACAGACAGGACAGAAGAATTAGAATGGAGAACAAGACATG